CTTCAAATTTTCAAGAAATTGGAAAATTTACAAAAAAGATGATACATAATTATCTACTAAATTTATGATGAATATTAGGAAATCAAGACCAATAAATAATAATTTAATGAATATAAATTTTAACAATCATAAATCATAATAATCGCATGTAGTTTTTATATTTATAAAAAAAAATAAGCAGGTAAGTGGATGTCGCTTTACTGTGCAGTAAGTTATAAGTGGATTACTGTAATGAATGATATTAAATTTGAATTTAATAATATAGTAGGTATAGATCATTATATACGAAAAGCGATTCTAAGTAGAKGCGGTTTGTCAGTCTAGGATATTTATCCTATATTAATAATATTGTTATAATAAAATAAAAAAATTAGGTACCTATAAATAAATTCCAAATTAATCAAATCAGATTAATTATGTACCCGACTCACCCAGACTCAGTCATTTATAGTATATACAAATATAAAATACATTATWAAGTATTAATATAAGTCTTAACAACATTGAATATTAGAACATTCCAACGAATACAATTTTATTGAGATTTGTAGAAAAAAAACTAAAAAAACGGAAAATTTCAATTATGAATAACTACAGTTATTTGTTTTTGAATAACAACAAAACAAGAATATCGGTACAAGAGAAATCGAGTGAATATCCAATGTTGCAAAAATTTGAAATTCAAATGCTCATAAAATTWAAATTTGACTTTCCGGGTGAAATTTTTTATTCGATAAAAGTAGACAAACTCAAGAAGAATCTTGTATTGATGCTAAATCTAAGATTTAAAAAGATAAATTTTTATGAATTTATAACTCAAAATAAATTGTTAAATTCCATGATTTTTACGTATTATGTTAAAATTCGTATTTTCAATGCTTATTAGAAAAAAATTATGACTGTATTTTTAATATTTTTTAACTATCATTGTAACTATACCTATATTAAAAGCTTTTTAATACATTTTGAAACTTTTTACTGACGTCTTACCGATTTTGCGTAAAAATTCGCATTTTTCCTAAATTTATTTTTTGTTTTYCCAGGCGCTTTTGAAAACTACTGAGAAACTTAAATTTTAACTTCTCCAATGCACCAACTAGATTCACTTTCCAATYGGAAAAGCTACTGAGGTTTAAATGCGAAACATTATTTCAACAAATTATATATTTTATAYGTTTTTTTAAACGTATAACTGCGCTACTTTGGTAATATGATTYGCCATTTGTTTTAAATATGTCCATATATGATATATGTATGACACATACCTTAAACATGGTTTTGACGATCAGTTGCAAGCCAAAGTTCAACGGGAACGGTACGTTTCTCCATATTCCGGAGTCGATTAGACCAGGATGAAGGCAATTGCACGTGACACCTGATGAACGAAAATATTATTTTACTTTTATCGGTGACATGTCAACGGGATAATCACCAGAATTGCTATCCTTGAGTTTGCGAGCTAACTCCATCGAGAACATGATGTTGGCGTATTTGGAGACGTAGTACAAGTAGGCGGGCAATTGATTGGTCGGATTCGGTTTGGCCAAGTTCAATTTCGCTAACTTATACAAGTCGGASGCGACTATTACAATCCTGCTGGGGGCAGTCTTCTTCAACAATGCTAAAACAAAAAATATTCTTAAACTTTGCATATAAGACGTATAGCTAATATCCATCTAAAAANGCCATTTGTTTTAAATATGTCCATATATGATATATGTATGACACATACCTTAAACATGGTTTTGACGATCAGTTGCAAGCCAAAGTTCAACGGGAACGGTACGTTTCTCCATATTCCGGAGTCGATTAGACCAGGATGAAGGCAATTGCACGTGACACCTGATGAACGAAAATATTATTTTACTTTTATCGGTGACATGTCAACGGGATAATCACCAGAATTGCTATCCTTGAGTTTGCGAGCTAACTCCATCGAGAACATGATGTTGGCGTATTTGGAGACGTAGTACAAGTAGGCGGGCAATTGATTGGTCGGATTCGGTTTGGCCAAGTTCAATTTCGCTAACTTATACAAGTCGGASGCGACTATTACAATCCTGCTGGGGGCAGTCTTCTTCAACAATGCTAAAACAAAAAATATTCTTAAACTTTGCATATAAGACGTATAGCTAATATCCATCTAAAAAAATAACTATTGTTCAACAATTTAGGCCATATAGTTTACTTATAACCGTTTATGAGACACGCATGAATACAATATTAATACTTTGCGTTTTTGCGTTTTTATTTGAAAACTTAAACTTAAATAATATTTAGATATCTATGACTGTAGTACGCATTTTATTAATAAACGCAGTGCGTGACGTAGATCGATAACATTTTAAGCAATGCTAACTAATAAATGATTAATACGTTATGCGTTCTTACGTAAAAGTAAATGTGTCAGCAAAAATGGGCCATATTGATTGGTGGCCATGGTAAGTTCTAAACCATCTTCAGTAACTTTTTTACCAAAGCTATTGGCCACRCCGGCATTGTTGACTAGTACGTCCAATCGAGATTCTTGTTTGTTAACTTTGGCAGCAAATTGACGTACCGAATTCAAACTGCTCAAATCCAATTCCATGAGAACCACGTTAGAGTTTCCGGTACAGTTGATGATTTCGTCTGAGCAAAACCAAAAATTATTCAACTTGATAATAATATGTTCAATACATTTTAAAATTTAAAATATACAATAAAAAAAGTGTGTGGGTACAATTTTTGTTACAATACTTCAAACCCAAACCGATCAATATATACGAGTAGTTAACATGACTTTATTATAAACTCAATTGTTGGATAAATAAACGAATAATAAAAAGCACACTGTACAAGCATTATATAACAATTTCCTGGTTTCCAAACTATATGTATGTTATGCATACATGAATCTAGGTTGAGTTTTCAAATAAAATATCTTAAAGTTATATGTTATGAAATTGTTTGTTACCTACTTTTATAATCTAGTTACAATTAATTACAAATTTAATTCGTATAAAGAAATATCAGAGTTGTTTTCTAACCACATATTTTATATTTTGTAACCTAATATTATAGTTCAAAAGATATTTGAAAGGTATTTGAGATATGTTACTTATTGATTACCTCTACTTCCTCTTTGGATTTCTAACATTAATTTGTGTGCGTCTTAATTAAAATAATAACTTTAATAATAACTATTGTTTTTATGATAAACTACTTTTATATATAATCCACGATTTTCACGACTTTCAGACACTTYTCATACAGAACCACTATTTGTATACTTCATTTAAGAGAATATAAGAACAAGCCTACCATATTTTTTCACTTTCAAATCAGCTGCCTACCAACGGTGATGCATGCGTAGAAGGAAAATGATGGAGGATATATCCTCAAGGGACTTTTTTGGCTGGATTTTGATACTACAATGGTATCCGTAATGAATTATCCTAGTCAGTAGTCAAATTAGAACAATTGTGTAAAAGATTACAAATTAGATTTCTATAAAATCTGGAAAAATTAATTTCCGTTTCGATTACAGCTTTTTCCGTTGTTATAATAATGATCAAMAAAAATAATTATTTTTATTTTGCTGGATAATGAAATATATTATTGCAAAATGGTAAACGTATAATATCAAATTTTATTATGAAACATGATAATTGATAAAATATTATGACACTAATTATATATGTATTTGATGGTTGTACGGAATAACACCATAAGGTTTCAACTAATTTAATGTCAATGTAACTAATTTACAAAGTACTACAAAACACAGTGATATGTCTGTATTAAAAAGGATGTAGGTATGGTGAAAATAACATCAAATAATATTTGTAACCACAAATAACCAAGAGGATGAATTGATGATAAATGATAAATGGTATCAAATTACCGTTGAGAAAGGAAACATTATACTATAATATTTCATCTTGACTATTTATTTCTATTTCAATTGATATGTGAAAAAAGTGAAAAATCAGTGAATATTAACCTCAAAGTGTGATGTACTGTGAATTGGAATACGAACAAAACGTTTAGTGGACTGTAAGACACAGTTTGGTGCTGATACTACTCATAAAGTCATAAATATAGATAAAACCAAGTTAATTCCTACTTATTAAATATTATATTAGTAAAAAAAAAAAAAACAAGAAAATATTTCAAGTAAATTATTTTTGACCATCAGATGCTTAAACTATAAATCCATAATCGAATATAACAATCCCTATGCTATCGAACCCCGAAACATTTGTCGTTTAAGCTGTACTTATGCACTTGATCCTTCGATAGTGACATCAATAAAAATAATATAACTTTTCTATTTACATTATATAATGTTCCATTACGCACATAAGACGCTATAATAAGCGGAAGCAGAAGCTCAATCGAAAATTGAACAATCGCATGCAAATATTGAATTATTATTATATTAATCGATTTTACCTCTAGCTTTCGATCCGGTCTCCATGTTCCTACAAGCCATAATGACTCTGGCGCCACGCTTGGCTAGATCTTTCGCCGTTTCTTTGCCAATGCCTGAGAAGAACATAACACGGAGATTAGTTGATATAAACAGTTGTGAATTGTGATCCATGTCCAACCACGTTGTAGTATATATGTATATAATATGTGTGTGTGTGTGTATATACATATAATATGTGATGTCAAAAACATTACCCGAATTGCATCCTGTGACGATTACGACTTTGCCTTTCATGATGGTGGTACCGCGGTATACACCTGTTGTCATCCAAGTGTACAATTTGACAATGGCCAAGAATATAACAGTGATCAGTACGGCATAGGCAGCGATTACCACCAAGTTAGTCGTGTGAAGGTAAGAGAGAGTCTCTGAATACCACATATTGTAACTATTGAAACACAAACAAAACGCAACGATCGTATAGTTTAAGTCCACATAATCACCACTCGTGTAAGATCATATACGGTGAGTATTCGAAATAATTCGTAAAGAAATTATAAAAATAGTATTTTTAACGAGTAAATGGCCTTGGATTTAACGTGATGATTATGAAAATCCTTGAAAAGATAATTTGGTAATCTCAAATAATAAATGTGTCTAATTTATATTTGGTGGTTAAAAATGTGAAATTACTTAATATAACTAAGGTTAAGTAATGT